CAAGTGAAACGTAACTCCCGCCCCCATCTAGGTAACAGCAGGGTCACAACTGAGCAAGATGCTGTACTTCAGTGGGCTGTAAAATATTTCCATTAAAATAAAAGAGGAAACCAGATGGTATCCAGCCCTCGCAGCTCCTCGAGACCCCTCCCGCCCTCACAAAAGCTCACCACGCGCCACGGCCGCCGGAAGCGGGAACGGCGGGGACTTAAAACTGAACAGCAAAAAAGACATGCCAAAGATGGGGATGCAGCGAAAAATGCCCTCCCAACGAGTGTAACTCACTCGCTGCAGCCACTGCCCGCTGAAGAGGCCATGCTTGAAGGACGACAGCACAACCTGTAGCCAAGAGAAAGAGAAGGGGTTGAGATCTGACTCCAAACGACAGCGGCAGCAGCAACACCAGCGCTGGGGTAAAAGGCAGCCCGAGGCAGCTCTGTGAGGAAGGGCTCAGCTGCTCACTGCAGCCCGACCTCCTGCAGTCGAACCCCCCAGCTCCCCACCCAGCACGCTCTGAGAGCCTCTTGCCATCAAGGATCCTGGGGTGAATGTTGAAAGGTCCAGGATATTCCCACCCTGCTTGATGCCGCTGACATCCCAGCACAGGCTGGGGGGTGACGGTGACGATTGCCACCGACACGCTTCACCGGGAGAAATATCATTCCCGGTAATTTCTTTCGCACTCTTTTAAATACGTTATTAAATCCAAACGGGAAGTGAGATTTGCCTTGGAAAAATCCTGTTCAGTGAAGAGACAAAGGTTCTGAAAACAGGCCCCCACCTGCACCCTGGAACTGTTTAACAACCCCAGTTCGCCGAAGACAGGGATAAACGTCAGGAAAAGGGGAGAGCAAGGTGCCAGGCGAGGCCCGGGGAGCTCTTTGCCACCGACAGGGAAGCTGGCAGGCATTGGGTTGCACAGGAAACAGAAGGTAAATATGTCTGAATGCCTGTTTATAATATCGCCTGAATGGGGGGGTTCTAATCCCCAGAGATTACGTTTTAGCGCAGCCAACTCTCACGAAATGTTGTGGTTTTTCTTAAAGGCACAGCTCCTCCAACACAGTTTTGTAAAACGCTCCTTTACAGTTTCCAACCTCTTTACAGAGGTGAGCTCAGCGGCGTGACCCAGCACAACCCACTAAAAAAAAAAAAAGGAAAATAAACCAAACAACTAAGTGGAAAGAACTTCCACACCTTTTCCTTCCTTTTGTTTCAGCTCTTCCAGTCCTGAAATTTGGGAGAGACAGGGCTGGAGCTCCACGAGCAAACCACGGGAGCAGGCGAGCGGCGAAACCGGCAGTCACTAAGGAGCAAGTGACAGTCTCGACCTCTCAGCGAACGGTGCCATAAAACAGGGCTTGGCCAAGGTAAACAGGGCCAGCCCGCTGTAACCCTCAGCTCACTCTGCTGCACCTGACAATCGTCAAGAATCCATCCGCTTCAGCGAAGAAACGCTCCTCTAGAAATCGCTAAGAACAAGAACACGCCGCGCACCAGGCTTAAGACTTTACGAAGCTTTCAACGCTCAGGAAATAGAAGCGGCTCACAAATGAAACTTCTCGCAGCCTGACAGACATTAAACCGTCGGCCGCACGCAAAGCACACGCTGCAGCTCGTAACGACAGCTGCCAAAGCACAGATGAGAAGCTCCGAGGTTTTCGATGCAAGACACCAACAGGCAATGAAAGCCCTTCTGCTCCCGGGCGCTCTTCCCCACATCGTCCCCGCTTTGATTCAAAGTTTGGAGCCTTAAATTATAAGGCACCAACAAGCAGAATTAAACCACAGCTCAGTCTGTGGTTTATTACTATTATTTGAGCCACCACAGTCCCTGGCACGTTGTAACGGCTTACAGACCCACCGGCCAGTCTCTACGGCCTGGACCTCCCCGCCGGGAGAGCCAAGGCACCCACATCGCTCATTACGCCCGGTGCCAGCAGCGCTAATTATCAGGAGGGACATTTCAAACTCGAGGTCTGCACCTGCAGGATGTCCCAGTGGGAACATCTGTGTTAAAATAACAGGAAAAAACTGTATTCCCAGCCCCGACACTCACCACGAACATGAACACCGTGTAAAAGATGAGAGCCATGGCACTGAAGGACTGGATGGAGGCCATCATGTTCCTCTGGAGGCTCAGGGGAAGGACGATGCAGAGGGAGACAGCAAAGAGCAGGATGATCCGGAAACTGCCTGACACCTGGAAAAGGGACCTGCATGAAGAACTGGAGGACAGGGGATACCGGAAACATCCCACCAAACCGGCAAAGGAACTCCCCTGTGTGCTTCGTCTTTCCGCAGTGATGAATGACGCAAAGCCAGGACAGATTTCAAATGTGAAATTCTGCTTCTATTTGTGTTCAAAGATTTGATGCTGAAAACTTGCCATTTCCTTGGCCAGGGTCTGTGATGAGCTCGTGCAGTCACTGGGTGCCACTGTTGCTCTACACAGCGTGTGACAGGTCTGTCCTGAAGTGCAAGTATTTGAAGAAGGGGTGAGTGTGGGGGGGTGGTGTTTAAATGCTAATCCAGCACAAGCCATTTAAATAAAGCAATTAAATAAAACCTAAACTTACTTGGGAGACAAGACATTGAAGTCTTGAAAATTCTGATCCATAAAACTAATCAAAACCTCACACTGGTATTTATTATAGCAGAACACTCTGAAGTGCTTGGAAATATTCTAATACCCAATTTGGCTGCAGCCACAACGCATCTTTTTAACTTCGCAGTCCCTTAATCGGAGCTTAGCAGCATCAGGCGGAGCAGATAACAGCCCCGACGAAGAAAAAAAATATAAAATCCTTCCACACGTCCCTTTTGCTTCCCTGCACGGCCTTCACGCCAGCTTGGAGCTGCTGCTGCTCGCGGCTCTCCAGGAAGAGCAGCAGGAGCACACGAGGAGCACCTCCTGCCCCCATGAGCCAACACCGGGCTCCTCACAGGGTTTATCTTAAAGAGGAGGCAGGCAAACAGTGGCTTTGGCCACCAAACCAGCAAGGGACAGGATAAAAATGCCTCTTGAACTACAGAGGATGAGAGCTCAGATGGAGAAACTATCTCTCGCCACCCGTTGGGGCAGGAATTAAGGCAGGAAGCGCCATGTCCTCCAGGAATCTGCTCCAGAATTAATAGAGAGCAAGTTAAAAAGAATTCCTTTGTTGGAAGTGCCTTACAGAAGGGTTTACACGTCTGATTGTTTGCCATATGTCTGGGCTTCCAGGACTTCACAGAGCGCAGCACTCGGCGCGCACAGCGGGCCATGAAAGCTCACCATGAGACTACCCACGAGGCCTCGTGGGCTGCTGAGCTCGCTGCTTGGGCCAGAGACGCTTCTCCTGCCTCTAAGACACACGCGGCTCGACGCAAGAAGAACGGGGACCCCCACCTGCATTGTAGGTGTGACCCAACAGAGGATTTCCTTACCTGAAACCCAAGCAGCCGGGCGAAGAAGTTGGACCCCAAGTCACCGATGACAACGTAGAAAGCGATGCAGGTTCCCAGCATCAGCCCGATCATGCTGCGAAAACAGACAAACACCTGCAGGTTAGGAGAGGGGAGCGGGAACCCTGGAAGGCAGCTCCTGCTCCGAGACAAGCCTGGGTCAGCAGCCCCGCTCCCATCAGATTTGTGCTCTTCACAGCCCTGATGAGACAACAGCGCGTCATTAACACCAGGGCTACCTTAGAGACACACAGAGATGCTGCCGAGGAGGCTGTAACCAAGCCCGGGGGGGCCCCGCACCCCACGGGGACACGTGAGCAGCGAGAACAGGGCTGCGTGCCTGGCACGGAGCGGGGCTGGGTCGTACGCTGGGAGCAAGAGACATCCCACTCGGGCTGCAGCTGCTGGGGAAGGATTAAGACAAAGGTTGAGCGCCAACGAGGTCTCAGGGGTTACACCCTGCACGCAACGGCGACAGCTGAGGATCAGTCGGGATCCTGCTGTGCCCCCCGTTTACCGAGGGACATCCAGAAACAGCTACAGGGGTACGTTTAAAGTGACTTCAACCCTTGTGCAGGCGCTCGTGTCCAGAGGCAGAGCAGCCTCAGCAGGCCTGGCTTCAGCGCACGCCCACCCTCTAATTCCACACAACGTGCTGGCCTGTCACGGTGGAGACAAGCCCCAAATTTTGCTCTTATCCTCGGGCTGGCCACCAGCTCTGCGTTCAGCCCCAGGGAAATAAAAAACTGAGACCCTTCATCCACTCTGAATATTTCAGCTGAAGATATGGCTCCCCCCCCCAACCCCGCAGCGGGGCCGAATTGTCGCGCCAGAGATCTTGCCCCCTGCCACAACCCGGGCAGAGGTTTAACTGCTCAGAAGAAACAAACCTGGCCTCCTTTACCTCTCAGGAAAAAAAAAATGTTTAAAAGGATCAGCAAGAGGTTCTCTCAACCCGGTCCTGATTCCAGATCAGCTCTCAAACTTCTTTCCACAAAACAGCCCAAGCTTTAATGAGAAGACTGGCTTCTGCAGGGCTTCTCCTCCCAGTCATGATTGCATGGACCACTTTCCCTCCCAGTTCCAATTATATAACATTGCTGGGGCAATTACAGCAATTGCTTGCACGGACAAGCAACATCTGAGAAATATTCTCTGCGTTTTTAGTGTTGTGCAGCAGTTTGCAGCTGGGAGGAGGGAAGGAGCCAGCCCCACTGACTGGCCTGGCCTCAAGATGCCTCCACCAGAGAATTTCAGCTGGAAAAAGTTGTACTGGTGTCCCAGTGCTGCTGAACGGGATCTGCAGGGCAGCTTCTACTTGCACCGGGGTCCCTTGGGGAACCTGAATCCATCCTGAAACGGAGACAGGGCTTCCCCCAGCTGGCACCTCCTAACTCTCGGTGTCTTGCAGAGTAAGGTGCTGAGGAGCAGGGCAGGACCAGAGCGGCTAAAGGGTGGATCCGAGGCGCTGAATGCTCTCCCTCTCACTAACTGGTGGCAGCCTTGGCAGGGATATCACCCCTGGAAAACGGCCACAAGTGACACGCCCGGGATTTTCACAGCACACGCAGCAGAGCGGGAGAGGAGTTCACTCCCCAACTTCTGTGCTCTCACCGTCTGGAAAGCACTCCTGTCTCCGCTTGGGAACGGGTGGGATCTGCTGAAGGCGACACCTGCTCAGGGGATCTCACTTACTCTTGCTCAAATTTTAGGTGGCAAGGAAGACTTCTGGGACCAGAAGAGGCAGGAGGGTGAGAAACGAAAGCGCAGTGAGGACACCAGAGCCTACAGAGCAGGATTTTTCATTAAAGAAAACCAAACCGTTGAAGCTTTAAACAAGCAGCAGATTACCTTGTTTCCACCAACATTTTTCCTGCTTTTCCGTAGGCATGAAACGCTGGCATAAGAGGAAAAAAAAAAAAGTTGTGGTTAGTCCAAAAAAAGCCCAGAACGTGGCACACGCATCAGCTTGACATGAAACAACAACAGCGACAAAGGGCAGCGCAGCAGGAACCCACCGGTGTCGTGTTTTGGGGCCGTTTCCCTTGCCTGCCCTCCCACTTTCTTTTTCAGACATGCCCTCCACAAACTGAAAACCACATAAGACAGGAATAAAGATGAGGAAAAGATAGAAAGCAGGTTCTTCTTCCCCCCCACCATTTAAAAAAAAAAAAAAAAAGCGGTGTGAAGTAGCAGTCACACATGGCAACCATTAAAAGAAAGTCAGCGCGGAAGAGAAAATATGCCTGTATAAGATGCTGTGTGGCAAAAAGTTACTGCAGTGCAAAATTTCAATCAAACTCTCATTTTTATTTTTATCCTCCCCACTCTAACTGAACCCGGCTGACGTTGCTGGATGGGAGAGCTGAGCTGGTGCCCAGAACGTTCAATCCCGTACCCAGAATACCCAGTACTCCCAACCCACACCAAAGGGCTGCTGCCAAGAGACTTTTTTTTTTTTTTTATCCCTCTCATGCTCGGGTTGTAGCTCGTAGCAGAAAATGATCAGTAGTCTTTAAAACGCTGGGATTTTTCTCTTCAAAAGATGATGCCAAGAAAACTCCGCTTGTATTTTTAGCTCTTGCTGGGCAGAGTGGGAATTAAGACCTCCAGTTCCAAGCACAGACCGCATCGCCCAGTTCTGTCAGTCTTGAACCGCAGAGGTCCAACGCGAAAACCACCGCCCTGGGCTCTCCTTTGGCTTCTCTCAAGGTAGAGCTCACATTCCTGGAGGCCGCCACAAAACAAACTCAACTCACTTCTGGAAGCATCTTCCGCTCTTTTAAACATTAACTTACAAACGCTCGATTTCTTTGGACTCCACTGGAGCTAAAAATTAAGGAAACAAGATGTTCTCCCACAGAGCAAGCAAAAGGCATGGCAGGAGACCCGCAGCAGAAAAAATAAACTGGAGCTGTTATGTGGGGTAGCACCGAAAATAGCTGATGGCTCAGTGACAGACCGGGCGGAACAGCCACCGCCAGGCACGAGGAGCAGCCGCGCCACTTGGGCCTCCAGCTCCCTCCTCCTTTGGGAACTCGCGCCCGTAACGGGAAAAGGCGACGACTTGGGGGTTCGGTCACGCAGCCAAAGGGCTTGGGTTGAGAGAGAGGAACCAGCAAGAGGAAAACATCCCTCCTGGAGACGGGGCCACTAAGGAGTCGAGTCGGGGCCACAGCAGCTCGTCCCCATCCACGGAAAGGTGGGTGCCTCCAGACAACAGCTACAGCTTCCGGAGCCGCTGGGGAACGAGCGGTCTCCTCGGCTCTTCTGAAGTGATGCTCTAAAGAGAACAGCCTCCCAACATTATGTCCCCACCTGGGAACACTGGAAAAACGGGATCCTTCATCTTTGCAAGGAGATGATGATGTAAAATAAATCGTGTAGCTGAACATCTTCGGAACGAGAGCTCTAGCTGCCTAACAGGGCAGAGCCGAAGCTGCTCCGTGATCAGAGGAGCCCTTTTAGACCAAGCGTGTCTACCAGAAATGGGCAACCTGTGCTCCCGTGTTTCTCTCAGCAGGGAGGGGAGCTGAGCTGCCCCCAGGGCTGCAGCACGGCACTGACAGGGTCGGTACCCAGCACAGGTGGTCTGCAAAGAGCCAGGTCCCTTCCAGCGGCTGGAAGGGGAGGCAGTAACTCATCTCCTTGTTAAACTCTGCCTGGGAACTGCATCCCACTTGTCCTCATCTGCCCAAGGCCGTTCCCTTCCACGCAGGGCAGGAGAACAGCAGTGAAGAGCAAATTATTTTTAATACCCAACCCCTTCAGGCTGCCAAGTGCTGGGGCCGGAGATCAGCCTGTTGCGACCCTGGCGCTTTTGTAGCGGTAACGATCGCTCTCGGCGTTCCTCCGGAAGGGACTGGCTGACTGAAGTTAATTTGCAAAACTTTCTTCCACCTTTCAGCGCTGCCAAAGCCTCCCACAGAATCGGTTGCGGGGGCTGCCAGGATCTCTCGCAGATGTACCGGGGCACAAGCCGGCGGCGACAAAGGCTGTCTCTGTGTGGAGCTGCTCAACCTTGCTGCATTAGGATGCGTTCTAGGAGCGCTGCCTTTCCTCTTCTAGGGGCTGTCCCTCCCCGGTGGCACCTCTCCCAGGGCCGAGGCGTTTCTTTCAGCGCCAGCGTCTGCGTGCCAGGAAGTTTAGAAGAAGCGTTACTGGCCCTCTGTGTATCCGAGCGCCTTGGCTCCCGAGCGCGCAGAAGATCCCTTCTTCCCGGGAGATGCTCCAAGGTGGAGGGGACTCTCTGTCCTCGGGGGAAGCGGCGCACAAAGACACGTTGTGAGGGTGCAGGGAGAGGCAACGCGGGCAGCTGGGCTGGGAGCGGAGGGGACGAGCCGGGCGCTTCCTGGGGCCTCCCCCTTTCCTCCAGCATTGCAGGCACAACCTCTGACACCAGGGAACTTTTGGACCTTCCTGGTGTCTAGAAGACACGACAACTCGTCAGAAGCCACGGAGTGCGCCTCGGGCACTCTGAGGATGAAGGAAACCTGTCTGTCACCAACACAGTCAGCGAGCAAGCCACGCGTTCCTTTGGCTCTTTTACCACAGGGAATGCCAGCCAACCCTCTCCTCCCCCGGAGAAATAAGGGAAACTGAGTAAAATACGACTTTTCCTGTTGTCTCACATGCTGAGAGAACCGAACCACCTCCTCCTGCCCCCCCAGGTTGGTCAGAATCAGAAGAGAGGTCCCACGCAGGAGCCAACCCCGGCGCCGGCACAGAAGAGACGAGCTCCGAGGGCTGGCAAGGCTCTGCCAAAAACCCACACATGAATCCTGCAGATGTTTTTATTTTCTTGGCCGCTTGGAACCTCGCGCGCTGTTTCCTCCCTGCTCTGCCACAGACGAAGCTCAGATCCCGGCAGCCCAAGCTCCGTGCCAGGCTCTCCGCTGGCAGAACCCGATGTCCTCGGCAGCGCACTGGGTGGGGAAGCTCGCGGCTTTCGTGCTGAGACCAGTAATTTACACCAGACACCCGCTACGCCAGCTCTCGAAAACTTGGGTTTTGATCAGTCGGCGCTGCATCTCCTCCCCTGCCCTGCGGAGTCAAAACAATTCTGTGCCTATTAACTTCCCTGTCAAGAGCAGAATTAAACCCTCGCGCTCCCCTGGGGCCGTGGGGCAGGAGGGGAGAGGCCGACAGAGGAGCACAACGCAAATTGAAAACTACATCGAGAAACCATTTGCTATTCCAACAATACCAGCGGGAAAGTTGTAAATTAAGAGGCCAAAGCAAATCTGCAGCTTAAAAAAAACCCCCAAAACACAAACAAACCAAAAACAAACAAAAAAAATCCCAAGCCCTAGAGCTGAAAATCCTCACCGAGGCCAGGGTAGGTCCTGCGCTTGCTGAGATTGGCCGATTTCACCAGGAACATGCAGGATTGATGAGTCATCCAAGAACAGAAAATCAGCAGCAGAGCTCCCAGGACAATGCCACACTGAAACGGGAGAAGAGCGGGGCAGAGCCAAGCGCAGATGTCCCGGCAGCCGTCCTCCCCCCGCAGCCTGACCGCCCTCCCCGCTCACCTGCCAGCTCCCCCGTGCACCTCCAGCCACGCTTTTACCTGTTAAGGAAGTTCCCTCGACTGCAGAGCAGCCTGGAGGAACACGACGTACAAGTGCAATTCTAAACCCTCGACAGCCCAAGGACGCCGGGGAACAGCCGCCTGTTTCCCACAGCTCCCAGTCGCACCCCTTTAAACACCGAAGAGCGAACTGGGAGCCGTTTGTGGAGGACTTTCACGGCTCCCCCAGCTCTCGGCAGGGTCAAGCGGAGCACAGGCTGATCCCTCCTAAACCTGGGGGGCAAACTCCCTCATAAACGTATTTAACAGGAACTATTTGGTGGTGTAAACTAATAACCAGGCTGAGTATCAGCGCTGTCCTGCCTCGCTGGCTGACGTGTTTGCAGCAGGGAGTGTTAAACGCGGGACGTATTTTAAGGAGGTGGCTTTAAACAGGGCCAAGTTTTAACCCCAGCTGCCCCTTTTTTCCATCATTTTTAGCTCCCTCCGGTGCAGCCGTGGAGAGCAGCAGCCCCCGGACTG